GTGGGGGGGGGGGTGCGCAGTCGCAGGGCCATAATCAAGTTTTAAACCTCATCAATATCCGCCCTCGTCCTCCTCGCACATTTCGAAGCAGGCCGTTCATGTCAGGGCATGTCCATAATCCGTTTGCTGATGTCAACAAAGTTTACATCACCGCTGCCGGCCCTAGCGCCGTCACCAACGCCCCCCTCACCATCGCCGCCGTCACCGACGCCGGCACCACAACGATCTCTCAGGCGTCGCCCTGAAGATGGGAGTTATTCGCAAAGCCGCTGGGGCCAGTATCGCCGACTTTCTGAGACAGAGGTGACCAAGTGCGAGGGCTGCAACAACATCAATGGGCCAGGCGAGTGCTGGAACACCTGCGGCGACGCAGCCGGGCTCTGCTCCAAATGCGACGGCACGCTGGGCACACCGGGGGCGTGCTGCCAAAACGGGAAGTCCGACGATCCTCCCGAATGCCTGTGGGTGCCCAACACCAGCTATTTGTACGATGGCTACCATACGTGCGTGCTGCTCCCACCTGGACCGCCCTCGCTGCCGCCGCCCTCGCTGCCGCCGCCCTCGCTGCCGCCGCCCCCGCCGCCCCCGCCGCCGCCACCGACGTCTCCGCCCGCGCCGCCTTGTGGGCCGGGCTACGGGCAAGTCGCGGGCGATGTCGCCAACGCCGGTGCAATCAACGGCGTCGGCAACAACATGGCGATCACCGGCTGCGACGTGTGCTCCGACGCTTGCGACAACGAGCCGTTGTGTATGTCGTACGAGTGCAGCGCGGTGCAGCTCCTGTGCAACCTCAACACGCAGACCTGGCCCGACGGGTACCCGAGCTCGAACGCGGACTACGAGGACTTCGCCTTCTGCGTCAAGCTTCAGCCGCCGCCGCCCTCGCCCCCGCCCTCGCTCCCGCCGCCGCCACCGACGTCTCCGCCCGCGCCGCCTTGTGGGCCGGGCTACGGGCAAGTCGCGGGCGATGTCGCCAACGCCGGTGCAATCAACGGCGTCGGAAACAACATGGCGATCACCGGCTGCGACGTGTGCTCCGACGCTTGCGACAACGAGCCGTTGTGTATGTCGTACGAGTGCAGCGCGGTGCAGCTCCTGTGCAACCTCAACACGCAGACCTGGCCCGACGGGTACCCGAGCTCGAACGCGGACTACGAGGACTTCGCCTTCTGCGTCAAGCTTCAGCCGCCGCCGCCCTCGCCCCCGCCCTCGCTCCCGCCGCCGCCACCGACGCCTCCGCCCGCGCCGCCGCTGCCGCCGCCCTCGCTGCCGCCGCCCTCGCTGCCGCCGTCCCCACTGCTGCCCGAGGTGACCAAGTGCGAAGGCTGCAACAACATCAATGGGCCAGGCGAGTGCTGGAACACCTGCGGCGACGCAGCCGGGCTCTGCTCCAAATGCGACGGCACGCTGGGCACACCGGGGGCATGCTGCCAAAAGGGAAAGTCCGACGATCCTCCCGAATGCCTGTGGGTGCCCGACACCAGCTATTTGTACGATGGCTACCATACGTGCGTGCTGCTCCCACCTGGACCGCCCTCGCTGCCGCCGCCCTCGCTGCCGCCGCCCTCGCTGCCGCCGCCCCCGCCGCCCCCGCCGCCCCCGCCGACGTCTCCGCCCGCGCCGCCTTGTGGGCCGGGCTACGGGCAAGTCGCGGGCGATGTCGCCAACGCCGGTGCAATCAACGGCGTCGGCAACAACATGGCGATCACCGGCTGCGACGTGTGCTCCGACGCTTGCGACAACGAGCCGTTGTGTATGTCGTACGAGTGCAGCGCGGTGCAGCTCCTGTGCAACCTCAACACGCAGACCTGGCCCGACGGGTACCCGAGCTCGAACGCGGACTACGAGGACTTCGCCTTCTGCGTCAAGCTTCAGCCGCCGCCGCCCTCGCCCCCGCCCTCGCTCCCGCCGCCGCCACCGACGTCTCCGCCCGCGCCGCCTTGTGGGCCGGGCTACGGGCAAGTCGCGGGCGATGTCGCCAACGCCGGTGCAATCAACGGCGTCAGCAACAACATGGCGATCACCGGCTGCGACGTGTGCTCCGACGCTTGCGACAACGAGCCGTTGTGTATGTCGTACGAGTGCAGCGCGGTGCAGCTCCTGTGCAACCTCAACACGCAGACCTGGCCCGACGGGTACCCGAGCTCGAACGCGGACTACGAGGACTTCGCCTTCTGCGTCAAGCTTCAGCCGCCGCCACCCTCGCCCCCGCCCTCGCTCCCGCCGCCGCCACCGACGTCTCCGCCCGCGCCGCCGCTGCCGCCGCCCTCGCTGCCGCCGCCCTCGCTGCCGCCGCCCCCACTGCTGCCCGAGGTGACCAAGTGCGAGGGCTGCAACAACATCAATGGGCCAGGCGAGTGCTGGAACACCTGCGGCGACGCAGCCGGGCTCTGCTCCAAATGCGACGGCACGCTGGGCACACCGGGGGCATGCTGCCAAAAGGGAAAGTCCGACGATCCTCCCGAATGCCTGTGGGTGCCCGACACCAGCTATTTGTACGATGGCTACCATACGTGCGTGCTGCTCCCACCTGGACCGCCCTCGCTGCCGCCGCCCTCGCTGCCGCCGCCCTCGCTGCCGCCGCCCCCGCCGCCCCCGCCGCCGCCACCGACGTCTCCGCCCGCGCCGCCTTGTGGGCCGGGCTACGGGCAAGTCGCGGGCGATGTCGCCAACGCCGGTGCAATCAACGGCGTCGGCAACAACATGGCGATCACCGGCTGCGACGTGTGCTCCGACGCTTGCGACAACGAGCCGTTGTGTATGTCGTACGAGTGCAGCGCGGTGCAGCTCCTGTGCAACCTCAACACGCAGACCTGGCCCGACGGGTACCCGAGCTCGAACGCGGACTACGAGGACTTCGCCTTCTGCGTCAAGCTTCAGCCGCCGCCGCCCTCGCCCCCGCCCTCGCTCCCGCCGCCGCCACCGACGTCTCCGCCCGCGCCGCCTTGTGGGCCGGGCTACGGGCAAGTCGCGGGCGATGTCGCCAACGCCGGTGCAATCAACGGCGTCGGCAACAACATGGCGATCACCGGCTGCGACGTGTGCTCCGACGCTTGCGACAACGAGCCGTTGTGTATGTCGTACGAGTGCAGTGCGGTGCAGCTCCTGTGCAACCTCAACACGCAGACCTGGCCCGACGGGTACCCGAGCTCGAACGCGGACTACGAGGACTTCGCCTTCTGCGTCAAGCTTCAGCCGCCGCCGCCCTCGCCCCCGCCCTCGCTCCCGCCGCCGCCACCGACGCCTCCGCCCGCGCCGCCTTGTGGGCCGGGCTACGGGCAAGTCGCGGGCGATGTCGCCAACGCCGGTGCAATCAACGGCGTCGGCAACAACATGGCGATCACCGGCTGCGACGTGTGCTCCGACGCTTGCGACAACGAGCCGTTGTGTATGTCGTACGAGTGCAGCGCGGTGCAGCTCCTGTGCAACCTCAACACGCAGACCTGGCCCGACGGGTACCCAAGCTCGAACGCGGACTACGAGGACTTCGCCTTCTGCGTCAAGCTTCAGCCGCCGCCGCCCTCGCCCCCGCCCTCGCTCCCGCCGCCGCCACCGACGTCTCCGCCCGCGCCGCCGCTGCCGCCGCCCTCGCTGCCGCCGCCCTCGCTGCCGCCGCCCCCACTGCTGCCCGAGGTGACCAAGTGCGAGGGCTGCAACAACATCAATGGGCCAGGCGAGTGCTGGAACACCTGCGGCGACGCAGCCGGGCTCTGCTCCAAATGCGACGGCACGCTGGGCACACCGGGGGCATGCTGCCAAAAGGGAAAGTCCGACGATCCTCCCGAATGCCTGTGGGTGCCCAACACCAGCTATTTGTACGATGGCTACCATACGTGCGTGCTGCTCCCACCTGGACCGCCCTCGCTGCCGCCGCCCTCGCTGCCGCCGCCCTCGCTGCCGCCGCCCCCGCCGCCCCCGCCGCCGCCACCGACGTCTCCGCCCGCGCCGCCTTGTGGGCCGGGCTACGGGCAAGTCGCGGGCGATGTCGCCAACGCCGGTGCAATCAACGGCGTCGGCAACAACATGGCGATCACCGGCTGCGACGTGTGCTCCGACGCTTGCGACAACGAGCCGTTGTGTATGTCGTACGAGTGCAGCGCGGTGCAGCTCCTGTGCAACCTCAACACGCAGACCTGGCCCGACGGGTACCCGAGCTCGAACGCGGACTACGAGGACTTCGCCTTCTGCGTCAAGCTTCAGCCGCCGCCGCCCTCGCCCCCGCCCTCGCTCCCGCCGCCGCCACCGACGTCTCCGCCCGCGCCGCCTTGTGGGCCGGGCTACGGGCAAGTCGCGGGCGATGTCGCCAACGCCGGTGCAATCAACGGCGTCGGCAACAACATGGCGATCACCGGCTGCGACGTGTGCTCCGACGCTTGCGACAACGAGCCGTTGTGTATGTCGTACGAGTGCAGCGCGGTGCAGCTCCTGTGCAACCTCAACACGCAGACCTGGCCCGACGGGTACCCGAGCTCGAACGCGGACTACGAGGACTTCGCCTTCTGCGTCAAGCTTCAGCCGCCGCCGCCCTCGCCCCCGCCCTCGCTCCCGCCGCCGCCACCGACGTCTCCGCCCGCGCCGCCGCTGCCGCCGCCCTCGCTGCCGCCGCCCTCGCTGCCGCCGCCCCCACTGCTGCCCGAGGTGACCAAGTGCGAGGGCTGCAACAACATCAATGGGCCAGGCGAGTGCTGGAACACCTGCGGCGACGCAGCCGGGCTCTGCTCCAAATGCGACGGCACGCTGGGCACACCGGGGGCATGCTGCCAAAAGGGAAAGTCCGACGATCCTCCCGAATGCCTGTGGGTGCCCGACACCAGCTATTTGTACGATGGCTACCATACGTGCGTGCTGCTCCCACCTGGACCGCCCTCGCTGCCGCCGCCCTCGCTGCCGCCGCCCTCGCTGCCGCCGCCCCCGCCGCCCCCGCCGCCGCCACCGACGTCTCCGCCCGCGCCGCCTTGTGGGCCGGGCTACGGGCAAGTCGCGGGCGATGTCGCCAACGCCGGTGCAATCAACGGCGTCGGCAACAACATGGCGATCACCGGCTGCGACGTGTGCTCCGACGCTTGCGACAACGAGCCGTTGTGTATGTCGTACGAGTGCAGCGCGGTGCAGCTCCTGTGCAACCTCAACACGCAGACCTGGCCCGACGGGTACCCGAGCTCGAACGCGGACTACGAGGACTTCGCCTTCTGCGTCAAGCTTCAGCCGCCGCCGCCCTCGCCCCCGCCCTCGCTCCCGCCGCCGCCACCGACGTCTCCGCCCGCGCCGCCTTGTGGGCCGGGCTACGGGCAAGTCGCGGGCGATGTCGCCAACGCCGGTGCAATCAACGGCGTCGGCAACAACATGGCGATCACCGGCTGCGACGTGTGCTCCGACGCTTGCGACAACGAGCCGTTGTGTATGTCGTACGAGTGCAGCGCGGTGCAGCTCCTGTGCAACCTCAACACGCAGACCTGGCCCGACGGGTACCCGAGCTCGAACGCGGACTACGAGGACTTCGCCTTCTGCGTCAAGCTTCAGCCGCCGCCACCCTCGCCCCCGCCCTCGCTCCCGCCGCCGCCACCGACGTCTCCGCCCGCGCCGCCGCTGCCGCCGCCCTCGCTGCCGCCGCCCTCGCTGCCGCCGCCCCCACTGCTGCCCGAGGTGACCAAGTGCGAGGGCTGTAACAACATCAATGGGCCAGGCGAGTGCTGGAACACCTGCGGCGACGCAGCCGGGCTCTGCTCCAAATGCGACGGCACGCTGGGCACACCGGGGGCATGCTGCCAAAAGGGAAAGTCCGACGATCCTCCCGAATGCCTGTGGGTGCCCGACACCAGCTATTTGTACGATGGCTACCATACGTGCGTGCTGCTCCCACCTGGACCGCCCTCGCTGCCGCCGCCCTCGCTGCCGCCGCCCTCGCTGCCGCCGCCCCCGCCGCCCCCGCCGCCGCCACCGACGTCTCCGCCCGCGCCGCCTTGTGGGCCGGGCTACGGGCACCGCCGCCACTCCTCCCTCCGCCGCCGCCGCCGCCGCCAGCCCCGTGCTACGACGTGCCTGGCACGTGGACTCGCTCTTCCCTCTCCCCCGGCTGCTACGCTACCACGGACGCCGAGAGGTGCTGCCGCTCGTCCGACCCACGCTCCGATTTCAGCGGCGACGACGCCGATTGCGCCTACCGCTCCCAAGGCGACATGGCCGGCAACCACTGCCAGCCGGCGGGCTGGGCGTCGTCGAACGGCTTTCCGTCGAGCACGTGGGAGAACTGCGCGAGCATCCTCGGCCTGAGCAGCTGCCCGCCACCGGCGTCGCCACCGCCGGCTCGCCCTGCCGACGTCGACAGCTACAGCACGCCCGACGCTGAAGACCCCGACTCGGACAACGACGGCTCACCAGATGCGGAGGAGGGCATGGCCGACAACGACAGTGACGGCACACCCAACAGCCTCGACCCCGACTCCGATGGTGACGGCTTGCCCGACGCTGAGGAGCACGGCAGCGACGCCGATAGCGACGGCCTCCTAGACCGCGACGAGAGCAACACCGCCGACGCCAACAGCGATGGCATCCTAGACGCCATGGACTCCACCATATATCAAAAAATAAAATAAAATATTCTTACCTTCAAGCCCCCCTCCGAGACTAGGGACAGAACCTACCCGTACACAGGAGAGATGGGACTGCGCCTCGCCCCCACTTGCCCTGACTGCACAGGATTGCGTGCCCCGAAGACGGCGACACATAGCGGGGGACACTGCGCAAGGAGGGGGTGCGAAGCCAAGGTTGGGGTTCTAGGTGGTGGGACCATGAGTGAGGGGGGGTGGGCGGGGTCCTGTGGGGGTGAAATGTTGCGCGGCGAATTCGAACCTACCCCCTCGCCGCGCCGATCCTCACGCGGAGGGTAAAACCCTGTGGGACAAAACCCCTCCGCGGTCGGCTGTCTTCAGAGTGGACCCCCCCCTCCCCAGCCTCCCCTGTTGGTTTTTCGCACCCCCCCCCCCCCGCTCCCCATCGGTGACTCGCGAAGGACACGGACACTCGGGGTGGGGGGGAGGGGTCCCCCAGAGAGGGGGCTTTGGGGCCTTGTTGAGTCAATCTCCCCCCCAGAGGGGCCTCTCGCGCGTTGGGTCGATCTACTCGCGTATATCAACAGACAGGTTCTGGCGAGCAGCGAGCGCGGAGAAGTGTGCGACTGTGCGGCGGCGCCGGTGAGAGATGTTGTGTTGGCGTTCTCACTCCAAGCGCCGCGATCTACAGTGCCGCATTTGATTTCACGAGCAAATTCATGAAAAACCACAGCTGAAGCACGGGCTCAGCCCGACGCCGCGCTCTATCAAGCTCCGAGTGTGGTCGGGACCAGCCAGCATGCTCGTGAAGGCAGCCTGGCTCCTCCTCGTCGCTGCCGCGAGCGCAGATGTTTACATGCACACCCTGCGCGGCTCCAACAACCGGCTCGACGAGGGCGACGGCAACGCCAACAACCAGAATCGCCTCTTCGACTCACAGAATAATGCGGCGGCGAGTTCGGCTCTCGCTCGCTCCAAGCCTGTCTGCACCCACACTCACCCAGCTGCGCGTTGCTAGGGTGGATACGGCTACGGCGGCTCTGCACAGAACCCGGCCGAACCGCTGCGCTTCATCTGCGGCTCTGAAATTGCACGCACCGCACCTGATGCGTCTAGCACCTGATGCGCATGTGGACACCGGGTCTCACCTAGCATCGCCGCCCCGACGTCCGATCAGGTTCTCAAGTGGACGACCCAGCACTCGTGCGGATCCGAGAACGCCGAGTGCCAGATCGTCATTCAGTGGATGTTCAACGACGACGACTCCACGCCTGCTGGGCTGCCTCCCGCGCCCGACGGAGTCGGAGAGGGGCCGCTTCGCGACGGAACCGACGGCAATACGCAGAACGTCAACGCGCCGCTCCTGATCCGAGGCCTACATGAGCCGCTCTCCTACTATCGCATGTGCGAGGATCGGAAGCGGAACGGTGGCTTGTACGCCGCAGACCAGGACATCGACAACGACAACACCGAAGCAGACGAGACTCGGCAAAACCCAGACGGCACGAGGTACGGGTACGAGTGCCCCGAGGAGCGTGACTACTATCCGTACTGGCACCCCTCCCCATGGCGCGACATTGCGGTCCTGACCAACAACCTCGAGATGCAGCCCTTCTACGAAGCCAACTCGCAGAACGTCGCCGAGAAGAACTACTGCGCGGGTGAGTCGAGCAACCCGGAGCGCTGGAGCAACGGCATTCGCGAGGCCAACTCGGCGAGGCGCTGCGGCGAGGCTGGCGGAGATTGGGTGGCAGCAGAGCCCTTTGGCACCGATACCGTCCAGGTCCTTCCCATCCTCGCGTTCCAGCGGGACAACCACCTGGGCAACCTCGACACGGGCTACGAAGC